TCTACCGGCTAATCCATTATTTTCAGCAGCATATTTATCTCGTATTCTTAAATTATATATGCCAACAGCACCCATTTGGAGCAATCTTCTTCTCGGTAATTTTGCTCAACGTTATGGATATTCTTTAGAATCGGTGATAGCACCATGTTCATGTCATTTTGGTCGAACAACTGGTGCTTCTGAATCGCAAATGCGAGTATTAAAAGAAGCAATACTTAGTAAAAAGATTTATACAAGAATCGATGAAGTTATTAGCAAATTAGGAGAAACAATTGAAGCAGTGGAAATTCAGTTTGCCGATTTCATATTTATAAAAAGAACAAAAAGTCGATTATTGCCTGCAAAAATACAGAAAAAAATTGAAGAACCATGGAACAAACGTATGAAGACTGCAAAACCTGCTACAGGTGTATATACGTCCACGAAACCATTGATGAATCTCATGGCTATGGTGAATACACGTTTGTTGGGTCGAAATGATGATGTTAATTTAGGTAATTATATTAGAGATAGGTTAAAATTTGATAGGCAACAAATAAAGAACACTTCAACTCTTTGATCACTAAGAAGAAATCAAAATAAACAGATAAATTGAATAATATTCTTTTACTCAGAGCTAATTTTTATACTAAATATTAAATAAGAATATTCTACTTAATAGAGTAAATGAAACAAAAAAAAGCTTCTTCAAAATTATTCTTTTTTTTTCAAATAATCATTATTCTGTTTTTGTTGTAGATGTTGGACAACTTCCGTTACTCATACGATTCGAAAATGCTGGTAATACTTGTTGGTTTAATAGTATATTTCAAATGTTGTTAGCATCTGGTCATATAGTTGAAAGAATACGCAAATTCCATATTATTGATGATGATTTAGTACCGTGTAAAGTTATGATTGTAAGCCAAATAATAAACGTATTCATATCTAAATCAATCAATTGTCATGCTGATGGAAGAAAGGCTATTGCAAACAAAAGTTTTATTATAGATCAGTTTAGACATCTGCGTTGGGCTGGCTTTAATATTGAAACCTATAAACAATATTGTGTATTTGATTTCTTTCAAACAGCAATCGTACCGATGCTTTTATTCTATGATATTGATTTTCAATATGTATTAGATAAATCTATGCAATGTTCTTCCTGTAAAGAATTAATTTCAATTACTCAACAAACATGGGACTATCTTCTCGTAAATCAAACAACAAATGAAGAGACTATTGATAGTATTATGACTGATTTATTTGGTCCAGTATTGGCTATGCAATTATGTCTTAACTGTTTAAAAAATGATCTTCATCCTACATCAATGTCAATATTAAATTGTCCAAAACATCTTTTTCTTCAATTTGATCCACGCGTGACCAACAATCGAAAACGACCTAAATTAACAGCACATGTAGATTTTGCAAAAATTTTATCAAACAATGTTATATGCACTCGTTCATATTCATGTTATACATTACAATCATTTATTGTATTCAATGGTACAGATGATAATGGACATTATATGACATATGCTCGATTCAAACAAGACTGGTATTGTCTCAATGATACAGATATTACACTAGTGAAATCGTCAGGTATTTTTGAAGATCATGCTAAAGATCACTCAGTTATGATGGCTCACTTTACTCGACCATCTGAAATCGATGTATTTTCATCAGCATTATGGAACGTTTTCACAAATTTTTCACCAATAAATGTCTCATTAACACCACATTTATCATTGAATGATGCTGCAAATTATTTTGCAAAACATTATCTCATCGAAAATAATCCACTCAACTTAGTTGTCATTAAATTTTTCAACTGTTCCATTTGCAAAACAGGTAAAATACAATTATTGGTTGATTGTATGTTTCTGTTATGATTCTATTGATGCAAGAAAAAATTTTTGGAGAGTAGACAATTATCACATTCTATTTGATATTTAAATACAGTTGGAGTGTTATCTTACGAGTTTAGACGAAAAGTTTTTTTTTACCGATTATTTTGATACGATTTTGTTTCAAAAGGTATAATTGATTCTTGTATAAATAAGGCTCATTTAATAATTATTTCATCGAAAATAACATTAATATGACGAACATTTATTTTCTTTTTTTTTTTCTTTTAGAAACGTTTACTGCTGCGCGAATGTATGAAGTATGGCAAATGAAAAAAGACGCATTACATGTTACTTATAAAATGAATTCTTTTATGTACGAAGAAATAAAATGTTCTTCTTGTAATACATCAGGATTGACTAATTTTGTTTTATATGATATACCACGATTTCTTCTATTGAAAACTGAAAGTACTGGTACAGATTGTGTAAGTTTAATTGATGATATAGATCAAATTCGTATTCGACCATCTGATATACATTTACCATTCGACTATCATGTGCAGACAATCTTAATTGTACTTGAAGAAGATGATATAGTTTATCTAAGAAAAACTACCAATGGTTATTCATCTTTGAATAAAACTACTGGTCAATTTGAAGAATTGCGTAATGTATCAGCATATGAAACAGGTCTAGCATCACGTTGGATAATATTCGTTTATGAAACTGATGAAAATGTCTTCTATCCACCATTAATCGATAAAATAACTTTCGATCAAAGTACTTTAGCAGAAGGTATAGAACCAGATATATGGACTATCGATACTGTTCAAGATCTTTTACCAACATTTACTGATATTTTAAGAGTCGGTTCTATACAAATCAAAAAAGATGATATAAAACTATTGCTGGATAATGACGGTGATATTAATGATTTGATTATAGATGCTCATTTATTTATTACTGCAACTACAGCACCATTTCACAAACGAGTTTTAGCGATGGAAACTCATACAGTATCTGAAATAATTCAGAAGAAAGTAAAACACATTAAAAAATCATGGTTTGATTACGATATTATTCTCTGTCCGATCAATCAAAAACATCATTGGTATTTAGTAATAATTGATCTGGAACGAAATTTAATAATTGAATATGACTCATTACCTACACATGATCTTCCACGTCGACAAAACCTACAACGTCTCATACATATGATAAACATTCACAATTTCTTAAAGAATGGAACTGATATAGATTTTCACAGTGATTGGAAACTATCTGAACCAAGTGAAGATTTCGACTTACATCAAAACGATCAACATTCATGTGGTGTCTATCTTTTAACACAAGCTAAATCATATATTAATCGTGAACAACATCAACCTATTCCACAAGATGAAATCAATCTATATAGACATCAAATAGCTGAAGAAATACTTCGGAAAGCAGAACCAATATCCGATGATAGTATATCAGACGTGAGTACAAGTAATTTCCGCATATCATATAAATTGATTTCAATTTTGTTCAATAGATATCCGACATAGAAATGCCAAACACAAAACCACGCAATAAGAAAACGACGACAACAACAAAAGCAAAGACAAAAGACAAAAAAAAATGAATATTCAAAAATATTTCTTTTTACTAAAAACATAAATAAAAAAAGCCATTCTAGAATCGGAAACATAGACAAATCTCACACAATATATATCATTTTTCACGATTGACAACAAAATAGGATTCGATCTCAACCCCACCGAATGCCACAATGCAACAAAGACCACCCATCAGCAAAAGACACCTGAGAATAACTTCATATCGCACAGACCAACACCATTCATCACCCATTCCAACAGAACCATACATGATCCTAGACAATCTAAAAAACCACCAACACTCACGAACGAACTCACGCATTCAACTATTACACTAACAGGTCACTAGAAGACCATCAACATAAGACTCAGTACAGTCAAAATCACCCAAGCTCTAGCTATAAAAACACATTTTATCATTAACCAAAAACTTGTATTCATAAAATCATATAAAAACATCGACATCAGGAAGAAATCTAGTGCTCTCACTCGAGCACCAAATGCCTACACCCTGACTTCGTCTAATTTACAAAATCTTCTCTTTATTTCAGTTGATTTTATATAAGAAAAGATCTTTTCACTTACATCAACACCTCACACTCGTTACATCCGAAACAAAAACGGATGTTTCATTGCAATTCACACCTTTTTCCTGTCTATTTTCTCTTCCACCGAAGGCGTATCTCCTAAGAAAACAAGTCACCACCAATCCTCTAATCACATTCAAAACAATCTCACACATTAGTCACGATGTCACACATTCATTTCTACCACAAATATACAACTCTGACACATGAATCTAAGTGTACATCTATTCTCTAGACCGAACAAAACCGGCCCACACAGTCACGCCTCACCATGTCTTTGCCTATGCATCGACGGTTCGAAATCTATTCTATCCAAGATGAAAATACCCTCTTTCACATAATTAAATTCTCTATCGAATGATATATTCATCCTCTTTTTGAAATGGAGAGCGCCGTTTGATGACACGATCTTAATATCCAAACCTTAGCTTTACCCATGTCGGTCATATATTTTCCCCTCGTCCCATCCTGCTTCAAAATCCATTCTCGCTATGATGAATATACCATCTTGTAGAGAATTGAATTCTCTATCGACTGGCATATTCATCCTCTTTTTGCAATGGATATTAAATGAACTAGAACCCATCGCAATATCGGAAAACATTGCATCGAGGTGGAAGTCGGGTCTTTTTTTCATTTTCGACCCCCCGTTCAAAATCGATTCTCGCTATGATGAATATACCATCTTGTAGAGAATTGAATTGTCTATCGAATGGTATATTCATCCTCTTTTTGCAATGGATATTTAATG